TCCCTGCCTACCTTCAGCACGGGGCTGCGAGGCGCTCACGGCTCTTCCCTTTGCAGGTACAGCGCTGTGAGCACAGGTAGGACCCCGGTGTTGGCGCTGGGTTTCCTTGTTTTTCACCTTTTTTGTCCTTGTTTTTCCCTTTTTATCCTTGTTTTTCACCTTTTTTGTCCTTGTTTTTAACCCAAAACGCATCTGCGGTGCGAAGGCTCCCATTGCAGGGCGAGCTTTGGGGTCCGACACGGCGCGGCGCCCCATAGCGTTCCATAGGGACAGTGTTGCTCCATGGCTGCTTGGGGTCCCCCCACCCCTGGCTGCTTTTTGGGGTGCTTTACCCAAAACCTATGAATGGTGAAGGTCCCTTTGGAGGGTGGGTGCACGCAGAGGGGCTCCCCCCAAGTGTCCCATCCCATGGGGTGCTGCTCCGCGGCCGCTTGTGGGACGCCCATCTCCCAACGTTTGAGGGCTTTACGCAGCCCCCAAATCCCGCAAGCCCCCCCTTTTCACCCCATTCCTCCTTTTCCTCCCCAAACCCCAGCATCCCATCCCACAGAGCCCAACCTTCTCCACGCCAACGCCGACGCCCTGCAGCGTTTGGTCGCTTTGTCCCACGGTCACAGCAGGGAGTGCGGCTTCGTCCCCGACGTGAAGCCCCCAACCCCGGGCAGCCCGGCCCCGTTGGTGTGGGAGTGCGTGGCCGGACACAGCTTCACGTGGGGCGGCCCCAGCGATGCCCCACAGAGGGGTGACGGAGGCGGGGGGGGCTCACAGAGGGGCTCCCCTGCGGTCCCCGTCCGTCGGAGGTCGCTGCGGAGGTCGGGGGTCGTGATGGAGGTGATGGTGGAGGAGCCCGACGCCGGGAAGGACGATGGAGTTTGGTCACCTGGGGGTGGTGGAGATGGCGGTGGCGATGGAGGTGAGTTTGGGTTGGATAGGATCGCAGAATCTGCCAGGTCCCATAGGGGCCATGGGGTCCAGGTCTGTCCCAGCATCACCAGCTCCATCCCCACATCCCATAGGGCTCATGGGGTCCAGGTCTGTCCCAGCATCACCAGCTCCATCCCAGGGAGGTGAGTTTGGGTTGGATAGGATCATAGAGCATCCCAGGTCCCATAGGGGCCATGGGGTTCAGTTCAGTCCCAGCATCACCAGCTC